TAATGTACCACATCCAAATTCCGGGTTTTTCAGAATAAGTTTATAATAAATAAACTCGCAGACATTACAGCGTTTTATTTGAGTCTTTCTGCCCGACTGGGTCCCGAGTCATTGTATTAGCTTCGTGTAACGTAAGGGGGCCCTACCTTAGGCGATCCAATCACGTGCCATTCTTTTGTTTGAAATTTAAGCGGGAACCGTGTTTTGATACTGGGATTGCAACGTTGCCACTTTGCCGTGAAATCTGTCATTTTCACCTCGAGCCTGGGGTGGGTTAAGATCAGTACAATTCCTTCTCTGAAATATTTATTGTCACCTAACCAACATGGATTCATACCTAACAAGTCAACCGTCACAAACCTTGTGTGTATCGCGACCGAAATCATAGCAGCTATTATTATTATTATCTATACCGATATTTCAAAGGCATTTGACCAAATCAATCACAGCATTTTGCTTCAAAAACTGAACGGGCTGGGTTTCCATCCAAATTTAATAGATTTCTTTGGATCATATCTCAGCGATCGAATGCACACTGTCACATATAATGGATTTACTTCCGATTCGTTTGCGTCAACATCTGGCGTTCCTCAAGGATCGAATCTGGGGCCGCTGCTATTCAACATATATGATGACTTAATTGTGTTTTGAATAATACCGCGTTAGCCTACGCCGACGATATCAAGATATTTACAAAAGTTGAATCTGTTTCGGACTGTGTGCGGTTACAGTCTTGCCTCAGCTTAATAGATGATTGGTGTAGGTAATGTAAACATGCTAACATTGAATATCTCCAAGTGTCAAGTTGTGTCATATAGCCGTATTCATCAACCTATAAACTATACTTATAAGGTTGGCTGGCGTGAAATTGCAAGAAGCGCTACATTTAAGGATATAGGTGTTTTCTTCGACAACAAGCTGTCCTCAAGTCACATTGACGAGATGTGTTCACGTGCTACAAAGATGCTTGGATTTGTATTTCGCCAGTGTCGACAGTTCCATAACATTCTCTCTATGAAGTCCTTATATTATGCGTTCGTTAGATCGACGTTAGAGGATTCGTCAATAGTATGGAAACCAACGCAGGGTTACCTGATCACCAATATCGAAAAAGTGCCACGAAGATTTCTCAAATACCTTTATTTAGCCGAAAACGGGAGTTACCCTGAGCCGCATATAAGTCAGCAGCACCTTTTGCATGTTATGGGCGAACAGTCATTGCAGTGCAGAAGATCAAGGCTTAGTGTAAGATTTTTATACAATCTTATACACAATCACATCGATTGTCCATCTTTGTTAGATGTGCTCTTCTTAACCTACTTAACAGAAACATTGACATTAATCATGACCCTTTTCCCACTATCGATATGGCTTTAGATTCCCTTTAGATTCCCTTTTTTAGATAGGTATGTACTAAATTATATCCAAATCCAAAATCCAAATGAGTCTATATATTTTATTTTATAAACTTAAATTTTGTTCTTTTTTCTTATATTATTTCATATTGTGTCCTATAATTGGTGTAAACTGTTGGACATTAAATCATTAAATAAATAAATAAATAAATAAATAAACTCAAGAAAAATAAGCACCCGCGCGACTACAAACAACGTTGAACGTCAATGTCTGAATTCTCGATGACGTATACATTCCATCCCTCCCGCTTCCGCCCACATAGTTACCAGGTATAACCTTTGAAATAAAATAACCTTGGACGGTGTACAGGCTTGGTATGGGAACTTCCCATATGCGTAGATTACAGAGGGACGATTCTAATTAAAGGTGAGTTTACAGTAGATTTGTCGCATCTTAATAATGAGTTCTGACCAACAATTAGCTCCCATTTAATTAGCGATTTCCCTTGTTGTTATATAAAATACCCCCCATTACAGAACGCTCAATAGTTGAGTGTGAGAAATTACTAGGATTGTGCTCAATAAATCTTGTTTTGAAGTGTATGTCAGTTTAAACGTGGCAACGCCGCGTATCTTCTCAGTACTCGGCCGTTTTTATAACCAACAAATTACTGGGATTTACTGGTGGCGTGGTGTAACCTGAGAACTTTCATAGTCGAAGGGTGTAACCGTCTCAGACTTATTAAACAAATTCTGTGACTCAAAAAGTAGTAATGTGGAGTTGCCCTTTCATCTAGAACCCTATTACAAAGGACGGATGATCAGTGCAGTTGACCGATCATCAGTAAGTTGTTTTGCCGTCGACATGTATTTGAGTAGTGACAATACAAAAAATAAAGCAATGGGCAGGCCCTGATCATCTGTCCTTTGTGAAACGGGTCTTATTGATAAGATTATTGTTGTTAGGTATGAATGGAGATAATGACACACTACCCATTAAAATCGAACCAAAACATGAAGAAGAAATCCATTTTGATCTTCAGGGACACATTTCAGTAAGCAATGAAGTTTCGGTGACAATAAAGGATGAAATTACCATTAGTACAGAGTGTTCTAAATCTCTTTGTGATGAAGAAGTAAGACACTCTGACTTTCGTCACCTATTCACTAGCAGTAAAACAGTGTCTAAAGCTTTTAAATGTGCTACTTGTGATTATGGAACAAATCATAAATACAGCTTCAAACAACATCTTTTGATACATAAAGGCTTTAAGGATTTGAAATGTGGTGAATGTGATTATGAGACAAATAATAAAGGCCACTTTAATCAACATCTCTTAAGGCATAAATTTTCAAAGGATTTTAAATGCGCTGGTTGTGATTATGAGACAAATTATAGAAGCAACTTTAAACAACACCTCTTAATACATAAAGTTTCTAAGGATTTGAAATGTGCTGATTGTAATTACGAGACAAATAATAAAAGCCACTTTAAACGACATCTCTTAAGACATAAATTTTCAATGGATTTAAAATGTGCTGGTTGTGATTATGCGACAAATCATAAAAGCCACTTTAAACAACATCTCTTAAGACATAAATTTTCAAAGGATTTGAAATGTGCTGATTGTGATTATGAGACAAATAATAAAAGCCACTTTAAACAACATATCTTAAGACATAAACTTTTAAAGGATTTGAAATGTGCTGATTGTGATTATGAGACAAATAATAAAAGCCACTTTAAACAACATCTCTTAAGACATAAAGTTTCTAAGGATTTGAAATGTGCTGATTGTGATTATGAGACAAATTATAAAAGCAACTTTAAACAACATCTGTTAAGACATAAAATTTCTAAGGATTTGAAATGTGCTGATTGTGATTGGGAGACAAATGATAAAGTATGATATGATAAAATAATAAAAGCCACTTTAAACAACATCGTTTAATACATAAAATTTCTAGGGATTTGAAATGTGCTGATTGTGATTACGTAACAAATAATAAAAGCATCTCTTAGAACATAATGTTTTAATGTCTTAAAACACACTTTTTGAAACCTAAGGATTTGAAGTATGGTGATTGTGATTATGACACCAACAATGCATATACATTTAACTGACACCTTTTAAAACATAAAGGTTCGAAGTATTTTATATGTGCTACTCGTGATTATGGGACAAAGATAAAGACCACTTCAAACGACTTCTTTTAAGACATTCTAAGAATTTTTTTGTTTTTCAAGTTTCACTGACTGCACAATGTTAATTAGCTACTACAATATCGTCAATATCATACATAATTAAAAATTGTTCTATTATAAATATATTTTACAAAATGCAAGTATGTTTAGATTATAATGAAATACGAAATGGAATATCTTGTAATGGTTTTTAACTAGGAAGAGGGATTTAAAAGTTCCCGCAAAAAAATTTAGTTTCTATTGGCTCGCGCTGCACCCGTTTTGTTTACACCACAGTTTTATATAAGTCAATGAATAAGATATAAGCGTTGAGTGAAGGATCCTTCACTCAACGATATAAGTAAGTCTACGAGTAAAAAATAACTTTACTCCTAGAAGTAAATAGAGTGACAATCTTGTTGCTGAAAATTGACTCCAATTGAACCTTGGCAGGCCGTTGGTGAGTGTGCGCAGTAATCGACAACAGAACCGGCTTCAAATTAAATGACCCTTAAAGCAAGTTCGGCTTGAGAAATGGTTTCTCATTGCAACAAAAATTGAAAAGAAATTCAATGTGTGGTGAATGATGTTGTTAACACTGTGTCTTGAATAAATAAGAAACATTACAATCTTTAAGAACTTTTAATACAGTAGACGACAATACAAAGCTGGTAAGGGGCTTACAACATCAGAATTGAGAAAAGATTTTTTGAGATTCTGGTATAAAGGAAATCGTATATTTGTCGAGCGATCGAGTTTAAAGATCTATTTATGCACTCGGTGAAAATAAAAATAAGCAATGAAAGAATAAAATAAGTTGAAATTTTATTTTGGTGCGGGACAGAATTTCAGGTGGGCAATGCCGAAAACACAGTTTGAATACGGGTAGCCACAAAGTCGACAAACTTCAAAAGCCAATAACTCAAATATCTCAAAAATGGAGCATCAGCAGAGGGTATGTACAGTGGCACCACGCTCAGAAAGTCCCTGACGGGGCCGACGGCGTGTCTGAGGGAGCTAGAAATTTAGACTGTACATTTGAGATGCCCCAACCTTAACAACGTCCTGTGAATATGATTGTCGATACGAAGCACCCTATACATCATGTAGGTTACACAAGCTGCCAACCGAAATCTGGTGGGATTACAGAAAAAGGAAAGAGAGCGAAGATGAGACGGATGGAATTCTTGGAAGACGACATCTGTTTAGGGTGTTTTCACATTTTTTAAAAACTGGACAAAACGAAAGCCCATTGGCCGTATAAACGAGCTACACATTTTAAAAAAATATCCGAGCCTTCATTTTCGAGTAATTTCAAAAATAAAATTCGAAATCAGAAATTTGCCGCGTAAACGGACAGCCACGCGTTTGTACGGTCACCTGTTCTCAACTACGTCACCACAAATCACGTCACAGTGCATGTAAACACTGGAAGTGTCATTATAAACAGCAACGCGTTCTACGGTTTTGATTTGTTTTCTGCCGTGAATTTATGTTTATATAGATTGTTTTTATTACTATCAAAGACTACCTAACATTGTGCATGTTTAAAAATGTATGGCGCACAATATAAATGGTGTTTTGTGCCATGTTGTACAAGTACATCGGTGAGTACGTCAAACAAAATATTTATTTCTGTACCACTTGAGTATTCTCGCAGAAGAAATTGGTTTAAAGCAGCTAGAAGAGATATGGCAAAATCAAAATCAACGTTTTACTGCTGCGAAGATCATTTTAATGTAAGGACATTATACCTACATATAAAGTAAAATTCATTGAAAATAAATTTTGTTTTAATTACAGCTGGAAGAAAAGAAGATATAGAAAATTTTGTACGTTATAAATTAATGGGTGGAATAGTATATTAATATTAAAGCATAAGTTGCAGAAGGCGCTATATTCTAGCACGAGTTCAAGTTTCGAACCTGAGCCGCGTAGCGGCGAAGGTTCGAATGAACGAGTGCTAGAAAGGCCTTCTGCAACATACCTATGCTTTATACTATTTTCTCTGTTGAGCATTTTAATTGTATTAAAAAAATTAACAATTCTGACATTTTCTGTAATAAATATTTCAATAAAGAAATTAAGTAAGCAACACCAACAATTTTTCAATAAAGAAATTAAGTTGGCTACCCTACATTTTGAAAAAATTTAACAAGCGCGTCAAATACGAATTTGTGCAGTATATTTTAGTTTTTTCAATAAAAAGTGAATAATGTGCGAAGAAATTCTTCCTTCCACTCCTCCAGAGCTTCGACAGTTAGCAGAAGAGACTGTTCCTCGGACTGTTCATAATTTGCTACCAGGCAATAATTCCACAATAATTCTAAAAGTTTATAATAATTGTACATTTAGTGACAAAGATTAGTTTTGTAATTTTGTTAGGTTATAAAACCTCATTTGTATTAAATGTGGATTTCTCTAAGTATCTACACTGAATTTTCAATACCTAATGATTACAATTACCCGTATCGTTAATAACTGTAACATAATGTTATAACAATAAGTGAAATTAGTCCACATTTTACTAAACCGTTGAGATAAGTATTAACGTCTAAATCATCCAGACAGAACTTTGAATTGAACATTCGCGTATATGATCAGCCTGGATGATTTAGACGAGCATGCCAACCACTGAATAGGTACCAAATGTTTTTAAAAATCTGTCAGTTGTGGAAATATAGATGTCGCCTTAGAAAAAGAAAGAGGTCTTAAGGGTATCGCAATTTTATATACAGTTGCTCCTCTTTACTATTTTTCACTCAACGGCTATACTTAAACTACTCCGCTTAAATTTGTCGGTGCAAACGGTCATTAGTCAAATTCAATCGAATCACCCATTACCCGTCACCCTTCTCAATAATAAGCATCATAACGTAATCGTAATTCGTAATATGCTCGTTATATTCATATTCATTATGGGGAGACATTGATTTTTAATTGATTCAAAGGAGATGTGCGAGAATTTTAGATTGGAATTAACAAAACGTATCGACAGTTTCCGCGGCTATTCCTTCACGTACCGATCACGGTCGAGTACGGTACAATCGGTGATGCGACACCGTTGCTTTTTCTGCAACGATGTATACGGGTATACCACATACCTATACGAAACCATAAACATTTCCAATGTTAAAATTAGTTTCTCTAGTTGTACAAATAACTAAAAATTTAAAACTTTTGGTGTTGTTTATTTTATATATTTGGTGTCAAGGCAATTGTATAAGAAATTCATTATCAATAACATTGACTTTGGTAATGTTAATAGCAATCAAATAGGTTCGCATTAAAGTAAACGCCCAATTTTGTAAAATAATTTAGACCATAACTGTTAATTTCGTGAAGTAATCAGTTCTCGAAGAGACATGCAATTTTCACGCTGCGTTTTAGGAGAAAAAATAGTTCGTTAGTGCTCGTTTCTGCACAATTAAATTGATGGACCAAAACGACGGGGATCGAAATATTTTATCAATTAACCGCACATCTCTATAATCATAATATGTATTATACTGTGGTATAATTTATTATTCATCATAGATCATCACCTTTTATTTATGATTACCCGTTGAATGTATTAATCGCAACCCAATATAATTTTATGATGAAGAAAAGGAAATAACTAAACCAATATAAACAACGAGCGACAAGGTCTCTTCCGGTTAACGAGTACCTATTGACCAAAATTTAATCACTGGTCAAGTCTACCTACTTATTACTGAAAACAGAATTTGAAAATTCGAAATCGTTCGGGAGTTATCATGTAGGTACACAGACGGACTGACAGACGGACAGAAATCATGAATTCGCTTAGGAGCTCTTTTAATAATGAAGAACTTCCTATATATTTTATTGACATAATGACCTTTAATGGAACGTAAACGTGTTAAAATAGTATATTAAAATGGGTGGAAACGAAGAATTAAATGGAGTTGATATTCTAATCTAGAAAAATAAATGTTAAATGATAACTGTAACATGCACCTGGCGTGGTATTACAGTAAGCCAGTGTAATATAGATATTACCCTGTTGAAGTTAAACACATTTCATATGGCTAACTGTACTGAGTTCAGCGACATCTACTGAAGGGAAGATTCAATTACAATTGGTAGCACCGAATGTTGTATCATGGGCGCACACCACTTTACAAATATATCGACTCGTGAGACATCTAGCAATCACAAATATGAACTAACCAAAATTCAAACGCGTTGTTTTACTATTGTGTTATATTATGGTGTAACGTAAGGGGGCCCTACCTTAGACGATCGGATCACGTGCCATTCTTTTTGAATTTTGAGCGGGAACCGTGTTTTGAAACTGGGATTGCAACGTTGCCACTTTGCCGCGAAATCTGTCATTTTCACTTCGAGCCTGGGGGTGGGTTAAGATCAGTACAGCATCTTGTGTTAAAGTACGATTACGACTTTCTGATTATGGTGCAGTGTCTACACCTATTATGGGATGAACTAAATGTAAAGCATCTGACTATTTGGCCTATCAATCAAATACGTTTTAATTTCAAGAATATGTACTTACTCACATTGTATATTAGAAATTAGGTTCAATGCTGACAACTTTGCTGTCCAAATGAGTTAAATTCTAAAAATTATGTGTTATTAAAGTTTTACTGTGGTGTTTTGTACTGGTTGATACTTATGCAATTTTCAGAATGGCATATCGCAGATAATTGAAAAAGATGGGGGTTTATTTTTCCAATTTTCCGTCTTTAGTATGCAAAAAATTGAAAACTAATACGGTTGTTATACGTAAAAAATTTTTTTCTACAAAAAACCTTAAAACATTTTTGCTCTAAAATAATTTGGGGAGCCAATAATCGCCTGTTATGAATTTTACATTGAAATCGGTATGATGCGTTACGCAAGTCACCACCCTGTATATACTGGTAGGGCGGACTCGCTTAATTAGTCTTGTTTTGAATTGTATGCCAGTTTAAACGTGGCAACGCCGCCTATCTTCTCTGCACTCAGCAATTTTTTATAACCAACAAAACTGGATTTACTGGTGACGTGGTGTAACCGAACTTTCATAGTCGAAGGGTGTAACCGTCTCAGACTTATTAAACAAATTCTGTGACTCAAGAAGTATGTCATGTGGAGTTGCCCTGGCATCTAGAACCCTATTACAAAGGACGGATGATCAGTGCAGCTGACCGATCATCAGTAAGTTGTTTTGTCGTCGACATTTACCTATTTGAGAAGTGACAATACAAAAAACAAAACAATGGGCAGGCCCTGATCATCTGTCCTTTGTGAAACGGGTCTTATTGATAAGATTATTGTTGTTAGGTATGGATGGAGATAATGACACACTACTCATTAAAATCGAACCAAAACATGAAGAAGAAATCCATTTTGATCTTCAGGGACACATTTCAGTAAGCAACGAAGTTTCGGTGACAGTAAAGGATGAAATTACCATTGGTACACAGTGTTCTGAATCTCTTTGTGATGAAGAAGTACGACACGCTGACTTTCGTCTCCTTTTCACTAGGAGAAAAACAGTAAAATATTTCAAATGTGCTACTTGTGATTATGGAACAAATCGTAAATACAACTTAAAAGAACATCTTTTTATACATAAAGGCTCTAAGGATTTGAAATGTGCTGATTGTGATTACAAGACAAATTATAAAAGGCACTTTAAACGACATCTTTTAATACATAAAAAGTCTAAGGAGTTGAAATGTGCAGATTGTGATTATGAGACAAATTACAAACCCTCTCTTAAAAGTCACGTTCTTAGACATAAAGTTTCTTCTAAAGATTTGAAATGTGCTCATTGTGAGTATGGGACACATAATATACTTTACTTCAAACGACATCTTTTAAAACATAAAGTTTCTAAGTATTTTAAATGTGCTACTTGTGATTATGAGACAAATTATAAAAGCAGCTTTAAGCAACATCTTTTAACACACAAAGTTTCTAAGGATTTTAAATGCACCGATTGTGATTATAAGACAAACAATAAAAACTACTTTAAACGACATCTCTTAAGACATACAGTTTCAAAGGATTTGAAATGTGCTGATTGTGATTACGAGACAAATAATAAATGGCACTTTAAACAACATCTTTTAAGACATAAAGCTTCAAAGGGTTTTAAATGTGCTGATTACAATTATAAGACAAATAATAAATCCGGTCTTAAAAGACACGTTTTAAGACATAAAGTTTCTAAAGATTTCAAATGTGCTACTTGTGATTATGGAACAAATCGTAAATACAACTTCAAACAACATCTTTTGATACATAAAGGCTCTAAGGATTTCAAATGTGGTAAATGTGATTATGAGACAATTTATAAAAGGCAATTGAAACAACATCTTTTAATACATAAAAAGTCTAAGGAGTTGAAATGTGCCGATTGTGATTTTGAGACAAATTATAAAAGGCTATTGAAACAACATCTTTTAATACATAAAAAGTCTAAGGAGTTGAAATGTGCCGATTGTGATTTTGAGACAAATTATAAAAGGCTATTGAAACAACATCTTTTAATACATAAAAAGTCTAAGGAGTTGAAATGTGCCGATTGTGATTTTGAGACAAATTACAAATCCTATCTTAAAAGTCACGTTCTTAGACATAAAGTTTCTTCCGAGGTTTCTTCTAAAGATTTGAAATGTGCTCATTGTGAGTATGGGACACATAATATACGTTACTTCAAACGACATCTTTTAAAACATAAAGTTTCTAAGTATTTTAAATGTGCTACTTGTGATTATGAGACAAATTATAAAAGCAGCTTTAAGCAACATCTTTTAACACACAAAGTTTCTAAGGATTTTAAATGCACTGATTGTGATTATAAGACAAACAATAAAAACCACTTTAAACGACATCTCTTAAGACATAAAGTTTCAAAGGATTTGAAATGTGCTGATTGTGATTACGAGACAAATAATAAATGGCACTTTAAACAACATCTTTTAACACATAAAGTTTCTAAGGATTTGAAATGTGTTGATTGTGATTATGAGACAAATTATAAAAGCAGCTTTAAGCAACATCTTTTAACACACAAAGTTTCTAAGGATTTTAAATGCCCTGATTGTGATTATAAGACAAACAATAAAAACTACTTTAAACGACATCTCTTAACACATAAAGTTTCAAAGGATTTGAAATGTGCTGATTGTGATTACGAGACAAATAATAAATGGCACTTTAAACAACATCTTTTAACACATAAAGTTTCTAAGGATTTGAAATGTGTTGATTGTGATTATGAGACAAATTATAAAAGCAGCTTTAAGCAACATCTTTTAACACACAAAGTTCCTAAGGATTTTAAATGCCCTGATTGTGATTATAAGACAAACAATAAAAACTACTTTAAACGACATCTCTTAACACATAAAGCTTCAAAGGATTTTAAATGTGCTGATTGCAATTATGAGACAAATAATAAACGTTACTTGAAACGACATCTTCTAAAACATAAAGTTTATACTTAAGAATTTGTAATATGTTGATTGTCGTTACTAAGCCAACCGGCAGAACATGCAATAATTTAAAAAAAAAGGAGCGTTTAATTCGAGAATAGGGCACTTAATTAGCACCTAATTATGCAATTATGTTTGATTGTGTTCTGCTGACCTTGCTCTGTTAGGTTCATGGACATCAAAATGCATTATAAGTATATTTAGATTATAATAAAATAAAATGTACGCATAGCAGTCAAACGCAAATGGAATAACTTGTATCTCATTGTTTGGTTAGCTTGAACTGTAAACGTAGTTCATATTTCTATTTAGTATTTATTATATTTCAAATATTTATTAAATAGAATGTTGTGCAACTTTACAGTATTACAGAATTAAAAAAATTGTAATAAAATGCCTTAAATCATATGGTCTAAGAATAATGCGCACCTTAAGAGGGGCCTTTGTTGCCAGATTTTGCCAAGCGCGGCGCTAAAGTCGCTAAAAATCGATATTTTTCATGAAATTTCAGTCAGCAGAAGCAGATTCGATTGTAATAATGGTAACACCTAACGCTTCCCCATAGAGGGCGCCTAAACTTTAGAGCGTTTAAAGTCACTAGATATAAAAAGTACCGCAATCTTAGAGTCTCTAAGATCGCAATCATCCGCTATTTTTGGTAAAAAAGCAAGTGGTATTTATAATTGGTGTGAGTAATCAAACTGGACACATTTAACATTCTTGGTGATTCTTGGCGATAACAAGCGCCATCTTGGGGAGAATATCCGAACTTTACTAGGTTTGCCAACATGGTTGATTATTATTCGTTGTCAATCAACCCTATGCTGTATCACTCTCGTTATTCTATACGATCAATCGTTATCGCAGATTAACGATCAAAGGTTATGATGACCACAACGACTATCGATAAACGCGATATGCTGTATCAATATTTTAACGGTATCGTAACGTTGTCCGGTATCTCGCAGTGGCTATTTCGGAAAAAAGTGTCACATTCTAGAAGACAAGGAACGATGCGCAACGGCAGTGCGTGTAAGAGTGAAATACCACAGCGATAAAATATAAGAGGGCGTTGTGGTGCGCGCTTTATCTTTAAACAAATGCCCGCGAGATTTGGAAATGCAGACGTTTCTTTAAAATTATTTGTATTATTAATTGTACGTGTACCTATACCTAGTTGTTTTTTCACGACATGGCGAATGTCGAAGAGAATAATAAGAGGCGGAGAAAAACCACTAGGAAACAATTTGAGGACTTGTTATATTTTATTGAAAGTAATAACATAATCCTCCACGGAAAGACAAAACCGTTGGAGGCAAACAAAATCAAACATTTGTGGCAGGAGTTTGCCAGCGGAAATGGACCACCAAATACTGCCTTACAAATTCTCGACAATTTTTTTAAAAATCAATTTCACCCAGCTGAAACGGATCGCTGTTGCCTCGTAAAATTCTTCGTTGGATGTTTTCCTCATGTCTCAATAAAAACATAATCTACGAGTATTAAAAGGCACAGAACTCACCTCCTTATTACATTTTCCAATTGCCCAAACAAAGCTACTTGCAAAAATCCTTGAAAATTATTCATTTTCTTTCTCTTTAACACCCGCTTAAACTCCAAACGAATCGCTGACAGGACCGTTACGCCCCAAACGGGTAGCATGAACCCTGTCGTTAAGTTTTTCTGGTTATGGTTGCAAAATAACGATAGAGAATTACGATAATCGTTATCCCACACTTGCTACGAGTGATACAGCATACCGATTTTTAAAAAATTATGGTAACGCCGCATAACGATATCGTTATTCTTAACGATAGTGATACAGCATAGGGCCGAATGTCAGATTGTTTTAACCACATTACTCATTTATTATCAATTTTTGCGAGATGATATCTGGGCAATTAATTTCGCATGTAGTTGGGAAGGTATTAAGTATCTCAAAAATTACCTACTACTTCAAAGTAAGTGTTTCAAGTTTCAACCTTGTTTTTATGGTTAATAGTGAAAATTGAAATCCCAAAAAAGTTTATTACCGACTCCTTGACTAGTAGAATCAGAATTTATCCTCACATTTGCATGATTTTCAGTAATACGAGAGTAATGTGTCTAACAAATATACCTAACTTTTAAAGTCACTAAATATAGAAAGTACCGCGATCCATTGGGCTCGTGTGTTAGAGAGAGAACGCATGATTTTTGCCCAAAAATGGCGGAAGTTACCAGATTCTAGTAACTTTAATGTTAGGGATTGTTCCACCTGTTTGGAGATATCTGTATATATTTCTTAGACCATATAGTACATGGACTGCTATTAGCCCTATGCTTTCAATACAACATGGATGGTCACGGATAGAGGGCACTGTAGTCGTGGGTATGTGAATCTCAGGGTAAACTAAAGTCGTTCAAACACCACTCGAATCGCGTAAAGAGCATCTTCCATAGCAACCGAGTAGTATGGGAAGCTTTAAATACCCTTGATTATCTTCTACACGTCCACAAATAAGAATAGGTTTGCTTTTTTGGCATATCTAGGCGATTAATTAATTGACGTTTGTTAATTTACAGGTTGACAGTGTCAAATCGTTTCTAATCGGACAGATTCGTTTACCCTGAAACTCACATACCCAGGCGATGTCCTTGACCATATTTTAGTTACAAATAGCAGTCCATGTACTATATGGTCTAAGATATATTTTTATAAAACATGACAGTACTATGAAGTTAGGTTATAAAAAATGACAGCTATTCAGATTTTATTTGTCAATTTTTTAAGTTGGCAGCAAATTTGCCCAAAAATGGCGGATGATTGCGGTACTTTCTATATCTAGTGACTTTACTAACTTTGAAATTATGGCGCCATCTTGCGGGGTATGTGTTTTAAAGGGAGCTCTTAAATTCTCGAATCCCAAGATTCCGCATTATTAAATTGCCAAAATAACAAAATCCCAAAATCTCAAATATTGCAAAATTTAAAATGTCAAAATTCATACTCCAAATCAGCGTTGGAATCAGACCAGAATCGGGATCCGAAAAAGATCACAACCTGATCACGAACTCAAACCGGAATGAGATCAGGAGCAGACCAAGGTCTGAATCTGAACTCAAGTCGGAATCAGACTAGGATCATTATTCGGAACAGACCAAAACTGAACCCAAACTGAAACAGAGGAGCAAGAATCAGTTAGTATCGTAGTGATAGTCAGCCAAATTCTGGGACTGAATCGGAATCAAAATTAGAATCAGTCTCCCACATGGAATCTATGCAAGATAAAGTCTTCGAGTTCAGAACCGGCATTTGATTCAGGCCAATATACCAATACCCGAACTGGAACTAGAATCAGAATCTGAATTGGATCTCTGTTTTAGCTCCAAATTCGGTTCAAGTTCCGGTTTCGATCCAGGTTGGGATTTAGGCTTTGCTCTATTAAAATTTCGAATTCTTAAGATTTCAAAATTAACAAAATCTGAAATTCTCAAATATCTCAAATTTCCAGTGACAGAAAACCCAAATTCTCGAATTTCCAAATTTTCGACAATCTCAATTTCTGAAACTTTAATTCTTGGGAATCTTAAATTACCAAGATTTCAAAGATTTTAGTATGCCATATATCTAACATTTCAAATATTGTAAAATCTCGATTTCTTGAAATTTGTAGTTTTTTAAAATTATTTTTTTTAATTCTTAAAATTTTAAAATTCTTCAAGTTCAAAATTTTAATGTGATCTTAAATTTTCAAATTTTTAAAAATTTCAAATTCCCAAAATATCGAATATATTAATAAAGTTTTGGAAGAACCAATATCCCAAATTTTCAAAATATGTATTGCCAAAAATGATGAAGGTTTAAGTTTCTAAATCTCAATATGTCAAATTCCTAGAATTTCAAAAGTTCCTAATTTTTAAATTCTGACCGCGGTGAACTCCTATTTCGAAAACCCTAAATCCTTAAATTCACTAAATACCCAGAATTTCAAATATAAAAATTCTCAATATCTTAACAATCCTAACATTAAAAAAATTCACAAATTTTTAAAATTCATAAAATCTAAAATGTTCAAAATTCAATAAACCTCAAAATTTTAATTTCACCAAATGTCAAAATTTTAAAAATGTCTTGCACAAATTTTCAAAAATCCCAATATCTCAATTTCTCGAGCTTTCAAAAAAATTTAAAATTATAATTTTTACAATTTCTAAATTACCAATATCCAAATTTCCAGAAATTAAAAATCCTATAATCTTTAATTTTCAAGATATAAAAATGCCAAAATCTTAAACGGTCGAACTTAAAAATCCTAACATCTTAAATTTCCAAAATATTAAAAATTAGAATTCCTAAAATTTTGGAAGTTATAATATCTAAAATTCTCAAAATTATATAAATTGCCCAACATTTCAAAAATCATAAAGGTTCCCAAAATTGGAAGTATCCCAATCAATTACTAAATTTAAAATATCCAAAATCTCCCACAATTGAAACAACTCCAAATCAGGATCGGAATCAGATCAGAATCGGGATCAGAAAAAACCCGAATCACGAACTCGGAATCCGACTAGGATCGTCATTCGGAACAGACCAAGACCGGGATGCAAACCCAAACAGGAGCAAGAATCAGTTAGTATCTGGGACGGAATAGGAGCTGAATCGGAATCAAAATTATAATCAGACTCACCCACACGGAATCTGTGCAAAATCATGATTAGGGCCAGACGAGGGACTAAGATTCGAGCTCAGAACCGGCATCTGATCCAGGTCAATACCAATACCCGAACTGGAACTAGAATCAGAATCGGAATTATAATCGGAATTATAATCGGAATCTGAATCGGATTCGGAATCAGGATTTGTAGTTCGGATTCCGATTCTGATCCGAACAGATTCGAATTTCTGTTTTAGCTCCAAATCCGGTTCAAGGTCGAATCCAGGACCCGTTTTTGTTTTGCTCTGGTCAAAATCTCGAATACTTAAAATTTCAAAATTAACAAAGTCTGAAATTCCCGATTTCTTAAAAATTCTAAAATCCCAAGCACTTGAATCTAATTTTGATACTGGACTACCAATTCCGAGTCCGATTCAGATTTAGATTCGTATTTCAGTTTCGATTGCCATTCCAAATCCGAATTCGATTTGGATTCTGATTCCGACTACGATTCCATCTGCGATTCTGACTGATTCTGATTACGACTAATTCCAATCCGATTCCGTTTTAAGTCGTGATCTGATTCTGTTTCGTCTTTCGCCTCTGATTCCGATTCGGGATTCGATTCCGAGATTCTAATCACGATCCTAATTCTGATTGTTTTTGGATCTTCGAGTTCGATTCATCCGCAATTGCTGTAGGTCAAAGGCGCGGGAAATTTAAAAACGTTACAGTACATTCGATAGGTCCACGTAAATTAGGTACCTGAATACGTGCGCGCTTCCACGCCGATTAATAATTCATTTTGAAATTTCAAACAATATTACTCATATACCGGCTACTTAAATTACAATAAAATATACCCAAACTTTCCGTAAAGCAAACAGTGCCGAATCAACAAACGTTAAAAATAATGAAAGTGGTCGTGCGGCGAAGAAACTTTCTGAGCACCTACCATTAACGGGGCCGCGCTCGATTAAACAAATATTATAAATATCATGTAAACTGACCGCGGGTGAAACTGCCCCCTCCGATATTATTTTATTCATGCTTTCAGTTTTATAACCCGCAACGAAACATTTCGAAGTGCTCCGTAAAACTTTGTAACGAGATATAACCAACCCGAAATGGATACTTTTTCTAAATAGTCGCATTAAAATGAAACAAGTTTATTTGCCAAACGGTTTTATAGTGTTCGTTTAATGTACGTTCTTTTCTTAGAAGTTCTAAACAAGTCGGATGCTCCTAAACCATTACTTAAGGAACCTAAAAAGGAGGGAAGAACAAGATACGAAGAATCGCATCGATTTTCAGTAGCATTCGGAAACGTGACTTTTAATCCGGCTCATATTCAATAGCACCATTGAGTAATTATATAAATAACGATTGGCGAATCGTTGTCTCTTTTCGTACTCGAGTTAGACGAGGAATTTTTTGAAATTGAGATTTTTGAAAATTTGGGAATTTCAACTTTCCGAAATTTGAGATTTGACGATTTTTGAAATTTTGGGAATTCAATCTTGGGATCTATTAAATGTTGAGAAAAGTTTTTAGAGTTAAACTTTCAAAACTTGGGAATTTTGATGCGACGTTGAAAATTTAAAAATTAGACTTGAAATTCTGGGAATTTGAGGTTTTAGGTACTTCAAATTTTGGGAACTTAAACCTTTATGATTTTTGAAATTTTGGGCAACTTTTATTTTACAATTTGAGAATTTGGAATATTTAAGAAATGCAAATCTTGGGAATTTAAGATGATAGGAATTTTAAACGTTAAGTTTACTTTTTGAATTTGGAAAAATAAGATTTTAGGATTGTCAAAATTCTGAACATTTTGGGATTTAGTAGTTTTGATATTTTAAGAATTCGAGTTCGCGACGAGAATTCTAAATCTAGTAACTTGAATTTGGGTTATTATGATTCTTGATATTTTGGGGATTGTTAAGATTTTGGGATTTTTGAAATTTTGCACATATGACAATAAATTGAAATTGAGATTGAGATTGAGATTGAGATTGAGATTGAGATTGAGATTGAGATTGAGATTGAGATTGAGATTGAGATTGAGATTGAGATTGAGATTGAGATTGAGATTGATTGAAATTGAAATTGAAATTGAAATTGAAATTGAAATTGAAATTGAAATTGAAATTGAAATTGAAATTGAAATTGAAATTGAAATTGAAATTGAAATTGAAATTGAAATTCAGATTGAGATTGTATTTGTGATTGTGATTGAGATTCGGATTCGGAATCGGAAGGGGTCGGGACTGGGATTGGGATTGGGATTGAGAGTGATATTGTGAAAAATTTTTTGATTTTAAAATATTGAGAATTTTAATATTTGTAATTTTAGATTTTGGGTATTTAACATTTTGTGAATTTGAGATTTTAGACCTTTTGGAATTCTAAAAATTTGAGATATTAGAATTTTTAAACATTTAGCAATTGACGTTTTGCAATTTTTGAAATGTTGAGAATTTGGAATATTACGACTTCCAAAATTTTAAGAATCGTGCATGTTTGATATATTTTTAGGGAATTTAAGATAGGTTCGAGATTTGAGGTTTTGAGATCATGGGATTTTTTGAATTTTGAAAATATAAGATTTTAGGATACTTAAAATTCCGGAAATTGTGGATTTTGAAATTTCGAGAAAATTTTGTGTTATATACCCAATTAAAATCTTTGAAATTTTGGTAATTGTAGAGTCTTTTGGATTTTTGAGATACATTTTAGCTTCAAGTCTGAATGTAGACAAGGGTAGATTTTACAGTTTTAGGAATTTGGGATTTTGTAATTTTATAATTTTCTTGGCATTTTTTAAAGTTTGAAAATATAATATTTTAGGATTTTGAGAATTGTGCAAACTTTGGATATTGGTAATTTAGAAATTTTAAGAAATTATAATTTTCATTTTTTTTAAACTCCGGGTAGTTGAGATATTGGGATTTTTGAAATCTTGAATGGGACATTTTTAAAATTTGACATTGTCTGAAGTAAATAATTGAAATTGAAATTAAAATTGAGATTGAGATTGTGATTGAGATTCAGATTGAGATTCAGATTGAAATTGACATTAAAATTGTAAGCTTTATTAAATTATGTAAATTTTTTGATTTTAAAATGTTTGAGAATTTTAATATTTGAAATTTTAGATTTTGGATATTTAAAATTTTGTGAATTTGAGATTTTTGAAATGGAAATTTACGTTAATAATTTTAAAATTGGAAACTTCTGAATTTCTAAAAATTTGAGATAAATATTGGAATTCTTCATATTTTTGGAACTTAAATCTTCATGGTTTTTGAAATTTTTGGCAATAAAAATTTTGCGATTTTTGAAATGAGAACTTGGAATATTATGACTTCAAAAATTTTAAGAATCATGCATGTGTGATATATTTTTATGGAATTTAAGATGTTAGTTTTTTTAGAAGTTCCAGTCATGGGATTTTTAAAATTTGGAATGTATTAATTTTAGAATTTGAAATCATAATTTTAAAATTTTTTGGAATTTTGGGTTATATACCCAAATAAAATCTTTGAAATTTTGGTATTTTTAGATTTTGGGATTCTTAAAGTTTTGGGAGTTTGAATTTCTAAACATTTTAGATAGTGAGTTTCGATAATTTGGGGAATTAAAGAATTTGGGCTTTCTGAGAATTAGGAATTTTAGATTCTAGGTTTTTTAAATTTTGTAATTTGAAATTTAACAAGGATTTTAAAATTTTACATTTCTCGGTATTTGAAACTCTGGGCATTTGGGACTGAAAGTTTCTAAAAGGGGGAATTTTAGATTTTGTTAATATTGAAATTTTAGGAATTTTGGAACTTTTGAAATTGGAATTTGAAATTTTGACAATTTTACAGATTTTAGGATTTTTAACAATCTGGATATTTTACTTATCGCTAATTTAGGAAATTCCGGGAAATTCAGATTTTGGGTTTTTTGAAATTTAGGGTATATGGAATATTTTTAAAATTTTGGAAATTTGACATTATTGGAAATTAAAATACTGAACATTTTAGATTTTATTAAGTTAAAAAGTTGGACATTTTTTAATTTGATAAAACAAATGCTAATTTTAGTATTTCAAATTTCTAAAAAATCAGAATCCTTAGATTTTGGGAATTTAAAATTTTGTGAATTCAAGATTTTAGAGTTGGGAAATGTTGAGATTTTTGAAATGTTGGGAGTTCGCAACATTGAGAATTCTAAAACTAGACATTAAGGAATTTCCGAATTTAAAGTTCTTAAAATTTTGAGAACTTAAACTTTCATGACTTTTGAAACCCTGGGCAATTTTTTGAAATTTTGAGAATTTGAGATACGACTTTAAGAATTGTAAATTTTTATATTTTTGGAATTAAAATTTTGGGATTTTTAAGTTCGAGAGTGTAAAATCCTGACATTCTTCAAATTTCGGAAATAGAAGATTTTAAAATTTTTTTGATCCTAAAATTTTAGAAATTTTAATGCATTGAGAATTGAAATTTTTGAAGTAGAAGTGTTTTGGATAATTAAAATTTAGGTTTTAGAGTTTTTGAGATGTTAGTATTTCGCGATGTTGAAAATATTAAAATTAAGAACTTTTGAAATCCTAGAACTTTGGTATTTTGGAATTCTAAAAACTTTGGGAACTTAAACTTTCATGTTTTTTGAAATCATGGGCAATTTTTTGAAATTCTGTGAATTTGAGATATGACTAAGAATTGTAAATTTGTTGAAAATTGAGAATTTGGTTATATTATGACTTCTAAAATCTTAGGAATTCTAATTTTTTATATTTTAGGAATTTTAGATTTTGGAATGTTGAATTCGAAGGTTTAAGATCTTGGCATTTTTAGATTTTGAAAATATAAGAATTTGGGTTTTTTAGAATTCTACACATTTTGGATATTTGTAATTTAGAAATTTTAAGAAATTGTAACTCTTGAAATTCTAGGAAATTGAGGTTTTGGAATTTTTGAACATATGACATTTTTAAAATTTGACATTTTGTGAAATGAAGATAATATAAAATAATGTAAAATAATTTTTGAAATTGAAATTAAAGTTAAAGTTGAAGTTGAAATTTTAAAACTAGGAACTTTTGCATTTTTGGAAATTTGAGGTACTTATTGGAATTCTTCATATTTTGCGATTCCTGAAATATTGACAATTTGGAATATTATGACCCAAAATTTTAAGAATCGTGCATGTTTAATATATTTTTAGGGAGTTTAAGAAGTTAGTATTTTTAAAAGTTCGAGAGTTTGAGATCATAGAATTTTTTAAATTTTGAAAATATAAGATTTTAGGATCTTTAAAATACTGGAAATTTTGGATTTTTTAATTTTGTAATGTTGAGAATTTGAAATTATAATTTGAAAATTGTTTGAAATTTTGAAAAATAATTTGGAGGTATAACTCATAAAATCTTTGACATTTTCGTAATTTGAGATTTTGGGATTCTTAAAGTTTTGGGATTTTCGATAATTTGGGGAATTAAAGAATTTGGGCTTTCTGAGAATCAGGAATTTTAGATTTTAGGTTTTTGAAATTTTGTAAATTTGACGTTTTGAGGATTTTGAAATTTTTTAAATTTAGATTTCACGGTATTTGAAATCTCTTTGCATTTGGGACTGAGATTTTTGAAAAACGGGAATTTTAGATTTTGTTAATATTGAAATTTTAGGAATGGTGGGATTTTGAAATTTTAGATTTTGGAACTTTTGAAATTGGAATTTGAAATTTTGACAATTTTACAGTTTAACGTTTTTGAAATGTTAGGAGCTTATGATTATTAAAATTTTGGGAATTGAGACTTTAAAAATTTAAAAAATTTTTTTGGGAGTTGGGGATAGGAGGATTTTTGGATGTTTGAGATACATTTTAGACTTTTTAAAATAAAGCTGTTGACAAGGGTTTTACGGTTTTAGGAATTTGGGATTTTAAAATTTGGGATTTTAGATAATTCGGTAAAATGAAGGTTTGGCATGATCAGAAGCGAATGTTTGTAAATAATTTATTAACAAAATCCATATAATTAGTAAACAAATTAAAAATTGTTTTGTACGCGCGTTAACATGTCTTTGGTTAATGGGATGCTGATTAGTGTTGGTGTTGAAGACCGGAACACCTTCCTCCTCCCCCTTCTTAAGATGAACGAAACGTTTTCTTTTGCCTTCCGTTAACGATGTCTAATGTTAATTTTTAATTTCCCTCACTGTAGACTTTTCATTATTTTTCTGCTTTTCGCTCGCGAGTACCTTCTTTTTCGAGTGGGCTGCAAAAATAAAGAAGAAAGTATTAAAATAATGTTTCGAATTTGAAATAAACATACGTTATTGTTATAACCGGGAATAAAATAACACGTCGGTTTAATGCTAAATGAAATAAGTGTCTATTGTTCGAAGGGAAACTGTTTATGTACAAAATAGCAAACGTGGAAAGTTTCTCTCTAATACCGCCTCGAGTGAACAGCGTACAAGTTTCCTTTCATGTTGTTGTTGGGGGAGTATTCCGAATATATCCGACATAATTTCTACATCTCTAGTCATTAACTTTTGTTTTCTAACAAAAAATTACTTGCCGCTGTTCTCTTTGTGGCATGTTCCAAGCTTTCAAAGTAAAAATCCCCATTTGGTCACTCTATTAGGCAAAGACACAAACCATTGTCTTTGAAGTGCGATTTGTGAAGCTACAACATAATTTTGTTTGGATTATCAAAGCCATCACTGACTTTAACTTGAACTCGATCTCGACTTGACTTTGACTCATTATGATTGAGTCCGACTGACTCTGATCCAACACTGACCCTGACTCACTGACCATCATAACTTTGACTTCAAACGATCGAGCGTGATCCTGGCTCCTACTCAACACTGATCCTGAACACTCCTATTCTGATTATCACCCTGTACCGTAGACGTCGTTCTCTGACTCGGAATTTGGCTCTAATTTTGAGATATAATGGAATATATCCGATCACGATAAGGGGCCGAGGGGGGGGGGGATTATGGTTGGTAGATATTAATTCCTCTCATTGAGACCTTTCATTAGAGTACCATGAAGGATAAAACCAGTTCCACTCCCCCCCTCCCTCTCCAACCCCCCACTCTTTTGATAAGGGGTCAGAAAGAAAGGCGGTAATTGGTAGAAAACGGTTCCTTTAGTTGAGATATTTATTAGAATACCATAAAAGGTAAAATTAATTTCTAAACCTCTGACTCGAAATTTGGCACTAATTTTGAGATATAATGGAATTTATCCGATCATGATAAGGGGTCGAGGAGAAGGACTATGATTGGTAGATATTAATTCCTCTCGTTGAGACCTTTCATTAGAGTACCATGAAGGATAAAACCAGTTTCACTCCCCCCCCTCCAACCTCCTCTTTTGACAAGGGGTCAGAAAGAAGGGTGGTAATTGTCAGAGAACGGTTCCTTTAGTTGAAATATTTAATTAGAATACCATAACAGGTAAAATTAATTCCTAACCCCCCCCCCTCAGGTCACCTAGAATACCATGAATGGTAGGTGTTACCCCCCCCCCCCTCATTTTTAAATTTCAAACATTTTACTTCACACCACTAAAGGCATGCGTATGTGTGTATGGTTGGTAGATATTAATTCCTCTCATTGAGACCTTTCATTAGAGTACCATGAAGGATAAAACCAGTTCCACTCCCCCCCCCCCCCCCTCTCCAACCACCTCTTTTGATAAGGGGTTAGAAAGAAGGGCGGTAATTGGTAGAAAACGGTTGAGATCTTTAATTAGAATCTATGAAAGGTAAAATTAATTCCTAACCCCCCCCCCCTCAGGTCACCCGCTGATCTCGAAAAAGAGCCGCGCGGGAAAAGTATAGTTAGTACAAAAAGCCATTTATTTCGATGACACCTTTCACTAGAATATTCCTCGGAATATTCCATGAATTCTGAACGTTGTGTACTACTCTACAAAGGGTCTTAAAACGATCATATGAAGATACTCTAACACCTTTTTTCCGCCTTGAAATTACCAGTTTTAGTGATCACTCTGTAGATGAACACCCGGTGTCTAGAACCGTTTTAAGTTGGGCGCCTCGTTACGAAGATTGCCACTTCCGACACTATTTAGGAGTTGAGGATAGAAGCTTAAAGGTAATCGATTTAATTTCGAGAGTTGCGTTTCAGCCGTCGCTACCGTAAATAATGCTGCAGTTAATCCGCCGTTTGCAACCGTTCCCGTAGGAATATTTAAATTGTTTTTACAGCCACCGAAAGCTTTCTTGCCAGGAGAGAGAATGAATCTTATCCGTTAATTACCCCTTAATGGATTTTAGTTTTCTAATGGTATACGAAAAACCAGCATTAAAACCGTGCAGTTTACGAAAATATCAACGTGATAGTAGACCCCACCGTTTAACCTCACATTTCAAGGAACAAAAGGGCATTGCTGGACTGCCGAATTTGGAGATTTCATTCCGACTATTTCGATAAGTATAATTAATTAGTTCAATGGGCCCCCGATTACGTCAAGACTACATTCGTTAGATGCGCCCTAAAAAAACTTGAATTTTGACACCGGTCCCGTATTTTTAAGACTGCTGGGTAGGACGTAATTAAAAACGGTTTTAATTTTCGATCGTTTTCGTCTCCATCACCATTCTCTTCCACCAAACTGATTTTATTTCCATAGATTTCAAGGGTCCTTGCTAAGATTTCTGGGACAGCATATTCCATCGCTCACCCACAGCTACCCATAACCTTTCATCAAAAATTCTGGGCCCTACGAAGCGTTCCACATTGTTTTCAAAATATTCCATAGCGAATTTTCTAGAGCGACATCGAAGCGCCATCAAGTCGCCATCAAGTCGATAAAGGAATAGTCACCTGAAGTAAGGAATGAAAGCGAATATGACGAATTCTTATCACGAAATGCAATATGCTGAATCCAGAATTCTCTATAAGCTTTTTATTTATAAATGGCAAATGGTTTCTATCCAGAGCGATTTCAGAGCAGGGATATTTACTTCTTTTCTAGAGACCGAAGGGCACTGGACTGCGGCACCTTTCTATCTAACACATCTCCATAGGCCCCTCTATGCCCCTTTCAGGGCCTCCTATGCGCTCCACCTGAGTTTCAGACTCTTTCTTTTATCCTGTCGAGAAAAACACCAAAGTTACCCGGTAGGTATTCTCGCAGGATTAGGGAGTTATGAGCGGATGCACCATCCTGTTGAAACCAACAGTTGTGTAAAAAAGCGACAGAGCACCTCAGTGTCAATAGGCTTGTTACGTGCGGTCTACAGGTCAACTGTGCAAAGTTTGAACCGGACGGACAGGCGGACAGACAGACGGACACTATCGATTGTCCTATAAAGTTTCCATTGCTCTGCTCTGCCGTTTATTAAAAAATGGTACTCAATACAGTGTGTACTTTTTTACGGGCCATATAAAAAATAAAGTTGATGATGATTTTTCCGAAACGAAAAATGTTTTGTAGAGCTCAAAAAGTGACAATGAGAAAGTGTTTTTTGAATTTTTTTTGTATCAGCTCAAATATAATCAAATCAAAAATCAACCAAATAAAAACCAAATCGGTAAATTTCGGTTTTTCTCCGGAAGTAATCGGAATTTCCGGTTTTTTAAACTCTTTAATTGCGCATTTGCGCATGTTAAAAGCGCAACCTCAACTTTTTTTTGTGGGTGGATCTCTTCGAGACCTTGATCATGTCGTCGAACCCCGAAAATTTGGCGTGCTATTAATCACTGAAAAAAACAGCCGGTGGCTGCTGGACTATTAATATCTTGCGAAAATTACCAACGCCAGTTTGACGGGCCGTAATACAATCTTAATGTGTTTTACGTGACCAAAACAGCTCAACCAGGATGACGCAGAATGATATCATGGAGGTTCGTGAGGAGCATTAGGTTGCACTTTTAAAAACGTCCTTAGGGGTTGATGGATAACCCTAACGCGCGTAAAGTAGAGATGGCCGATTTAATTAATTAGCGCCATTTTGGGGCGTGGTAGAGAATTAAAAACGAAGTAGGGATTAAGTAGAGAGGCAACAGCTAATTAAGATGACCACGTGAATGCAAAGAACGCCTTTTTTTGGGGTTTCTCTTATTGCAAATTTAGTCGTTAATCGGTTAATTCATTTGATTCTATTTGTCGTATTTAATTTGTATGATAAATTTAAAACGCGTAACTTAGGGAACATTTAATCGAAATTTGTTTATATGTTTATCTGGTCGGACAAGAATTACTTGAATTTTCGATAAAAAAATGTCACGTACGAGATAAGCAATGCAGGTGTTGTATCAATTCTGGCGGTGTAGAGAAATTAGAGGTGGTTTTGCTTAAATAGGAAAACTAAGCGAGGAGCAAACGAGGCTGTCTGGAGTTATTTTGAAAGAAAGCGTTAATTTTGCTGTCGGCAGTCGCTCCGATTGAAGCTTTTGGTACACGAGAAACACAAAGGAAACATTCATTCTTATTTAGTTTGAAATAAATTTTGAGGAAGTAGTACCTTACATTGAATGACTCCGTCTCCGTCTATTTTGGTAACATCATTTGAGACTAACACTTTATGGTGTCCGAGCGGGAATTTTCCATACGTACAAACCCAGGGGTATAATGAACAAATGTTTCCGTAAAAACTCTCACACTACACATTACAAAAAAACTGGAACCGGAACCGAAAATATTGAAGTCACAGAACTGGAACCGGAACCCTTAAAAGAAATAATTCTACCTAAGCAGCGCGGAACCGGAACCTATAATTCATACACTTTTATGACCGAATGTACCCGCTCCTCCTCCTACACATATAACTGACCAGCTAAATCTACGTCATACACATATCACGTTGATCCAAAAGGAATTCAAGGTAAAACGCACTTGTTAATGTCGAATGCCTACCTGTAATCAGCGTAATCGGCCCCTCCGGTTTCTCGACGGGCGACTTTTTCTCGCTCTCACCATGAGCCACCTTAACTCCGTAACTCACTTGGTAAATCGGAAGCGGAATGACGGTGGACGAAACCGGAACCAAATCTGGAAAGTGACGCAACCGCGCGTTTGAGGGCGGGCCCTTTAAAAGTGCACAACTCACCCGGTTCCAGTTTGTCGTTTTCATTCAACTTGTACATCGTGGGGTGCGCGTACGTCACGCACGCCACCAACAACAAAGGCAAGACCTTGTTCATCTCGAACCGCTTTCTCGAATTTTACAAAAGAAACTGAAGAATTGACACATTCATTTCTTAAAGGTGATCTCAGCGCAATCACGCACGTCGGTATCGTTCGTAAACAACTACGGGAAAGGCCAGCAACAATCGCTTGGACCACCTTTTCTTCCATTGAGGGAAAGTGGTTTGCATGCGAGCAAAATCAACCTACATACGATCGTCCTTCCAGCGTTTTACTGAGGCAGGTGCAAACTACCGGTAATTACGCTAATTACGCGCTAGGTTATCGCATTGCGCAATGTTATCATTAAAATGAGTCACGAGAAGACGCCTCTCGTGTGCCGTTAAAGCGTCTTCGTATATGAGCTGGTTATTGATAGCGTCCACTTAAACGCGCGATTTAATAAAACGTTTCGCCGTATCGCTTTTTTTATTTACGCCGACGTCTCACGCGATTCCTAAATTCTAATCGTAAATTGTTATATTGGTCGTCGCACATTTTATTATAATTTAATTAAAATAACGGGAGAGGGCGCGCTTATTATGTGCCGCGAACACATGACGGGAGTAATAATGCATCGATGCCAGAGTAAAGTCGAGCTGGTGCCTCAGAGGGCGGGTTCTTCTTCTCCTTCTTGTGCCACTCCTTGTCCTGCCGATCTGTTTTGTTTCTTAGGCCTCCCCGATCTGTTCTCTTCTGTTTTGTATCTTCTCAATCACATAAGTTTTCGGCCTAGTTTGTCTTTGTCCGATATGCAATTAGTATGTATTCAAAATATTCGAGATATTCGAGGTATTCGAGATATTCGAGATATTCGTGATATTCGAGATATTCGAGATATTCGACATATTCGACATATTCGAGATATTCGTTATATTCCAGATATTCGAGATATTCAAGATCTTTGAGATATTCGAGAAATTCGAGATGTACAAGGTATTCGAGATATTCATCCGAGATATTCGAGATGTACGAGATATTCGAGATATTCATCCGAGATATTCGAGATATTGGAGATATTCGAAACGTTCGAGATATCCGAGATACTCGAGATACTCGAGATATTCGAGATATTTTAAGATATTCGATAATCTCGAGATACTCGAGCTATTCAAGGTATTCGAGATCTTCGTGATGTACGAGATACTCGAGATATTTATCCGAGATATTCGAGACATTCAAGATAATCGAGGTATTCGTGATATTCGAGATTTTCGAGATGTTCGAGATATTCGAGATGTTTGAGATATTCGAGATATTCGAGATATTCGAGAAACTCGAGATATTCGAGATATATAAATATTCGAATTCAAAATTAAAAACTCAAAACCCCAATTCAAAATTCAAATTTTTAAATTTCTTAATTTTGCATGCAAAACAAACTTGGTACGGCCCTCCTTGGAGAGACAATATTTCGGAATTTGACCAATGGGAACTGCAAATTGGATTTTAGCGACCTTGCACCTTTACTTCTATGGATTTTCTGTTAATTGATGCTTTTAATTGATACATTTAACTTAGCAGAAAACGCAATTTGTCGCTATACCGCAATGGTTCTGAAAGATTTGAACTATCACAAAAGGAACAAATTTCATGCGAAGAATTCTACACTTTTATTTTGGATTTTCAGGACATTTTAAAAAGATTTTGAAGACATTTTCGAGAAATTTTGAAGAGATTTTGAAACGATTTTGAAGAGATTTTAAAGAGATTTTGAAGATATTTTGAAGAAACTGTAGAAATTTTGAAGCGATTTTGAAGAAAATTTCAAATTACAAATTCAAAATTTTCAAAATTCAAAATTCAGAATTCAAAATTCAAAATTCAAAGCTCAGTGCTCAAAGTTCAAAGCTCAAACCTCAAGATTTTGAAGAGATATTAAGGATATTTTGAGGAGACTTTGAAGACACTGGAAGAGATTATGCAAAGATTTTGAAGAAACTTGAAGAGATTTTAAAGGGATTATGAATAGATTTTGAACGGCTGTTGAGGAAATTTTTAAGAGATTTTGAAAATATTTCGAAGATTTTGGAGACTTTAGAAATTTTGAAGATATTTTGAAGAGGTTTTATAGAAATTTTGAGATGTTTAAGAGATTTTGAACAAATCGTGAAGTGATTTCAAATTCCAAATTTGAAATGTTCAAAATTCAAAATTCAAAGCTCAGTGCTCAAAGTTCAAAGCTCAAGATTTTGAAGAGATTATGAAGATATTTTGAGGAGACTTTGGAGACACTTTGAAGAGATTATGCAAAGATTTTTAAGAAATTTTGAAGAGATTTTGAAGAAACTGAAGAAATTTTAAAGAGATTTTGAAGCGATTTTGAAGAAAATTTCAAATTCCAAATTTAAAATTTTCAAAGCTTAGTGCTTAAAGTTCAAAGCTCAAGATTTTGAAGATATTTTGACGAGACTTTGAAGAGATTATGCAAAGATTTTGAAAAAACTTGAAGAGATTTTAAAGAGATTATGAGTAGATTTTGAAGGGCTTTTCAGGAAATTTAAAAAAAATGTTGCAAGATATTTCGAAGATTTTGAAGAGATTTTGAAGAAATTTTGAAAAGATTTTAAAGAAATTTTCAAGAGATTTTAAAGAGATTTTGAAGAGATTTTGAAGAGATTTTGAAGAGATTTTGAAGAGATTTTGAAGCGATTTTCAAGAAAATTTCAAATTACAAATTCAAAATTCAAAGCTCAGTGTTCAAAGTTCAAAGCTCAAGATTTTAAAGAGATTTTGAGGAGACTTTAAAGACACTTTGAAGAGATTATGCAAAGATTTTGAAGAAACTTGAATAGATTTTAAAAGATTGTGAATAGATTTTGAAGGGCTTTTCAGGAAATTTAAAGAGATTTTGAAGATATTTCGAAGATTTTGAAGAGACTTTGAAGTGATTTTGAAAAGATTTTGAAGGAATTTTAAAGAGATTTTGAAGAAATTTTGAAGAGATTTTGAAGAAACTTTGAAGAAATTTTAAAGAGATTTTGAAGCGATTTTGAAGAAATTTTGAAGAGATTTTGAAGAAAATTTCAAATTCAAAATTTTCAAAATTCAAAATTCAAAGCTCAGTGCTCAAAGTTTAAAGCTCAAGATTTTGAAGATATTTTGAGGAGACTATGAAGACACTTTAAAGAGATTATGCAAAGATTTTGAAGAAACTTAAAAAGATTTTGAAGAAACCTTGAAGAGATTTTGAAGAAATTTTGAAAAAATTTTTAAGAGATTTTGAAGAGATGTTGAAGAAATTTTGAAGAGATTTTGAAGAAATTTTGAAGAGATTTTGAAGAAGTCTTGATAAGATTTGGAAGAGATTATGAAGAGAAACGATTTTCCGAATACAATGTTATTGTCACGAGTTTTAATCACAAAAGTCAACCCTTCCTTTGTTCCCTTCGCTGATAAATAACTTGCGCCTGAGCATTAGCAATAATCCTTTGTGTCAAGAAAACATTAGCACGTTTAATTGAAACGCTTAATCCACTTCTGCGTTTTCAAGGTCAAAGTGCGCTACAATTAGCAAAGTTTACCTACTCACTCATCACGTCAATAGTGATCTCTCGCGCGACTCGCCCCTAAGGCCGTCAAAAAATCTCTCCAGATTAATCCCTACCTGTGTTTTTTTAATTAATAACGCCCCTTCAAAATAGCGCTTTGTAATTAAGACACTTGATTCGTTGTAGCCGATTTGTTCATTTCTTTTGGTTCGGGTTTTCGGTTTCTTCTTTTTTTATTTGGTATTTCATTTTAATAGGTTTCTTCGATATCTTTTTTTAAACCAGATTTGTTTATTTTTTATTTTCTCGATTACATACCTAGTCTCTTAAGCTTTTCAGTTTCTTTATTTTCTTCATTTTAACCGGTTTTCTTTTTTCTTGAGCCCCTTCGGTCTCTTCGCTACTTTCGGTCTATTCTTTGTGTTCGTGTTTTGGATCCTTTTCGTTTCTTTCTACGATCTGTTTCTTGGATCTTGTCACCTTTTTTGATGTCTAATGATTTTCGATTTTCAATATTTTTTCCTTTGTTCTTATGTTCGTGTATTTTTCGGTTCCTTCATTGTCTTCATTCCTCTCGGTTTCGGTTCGAGTTTTCGGTTTCTTTGTTTTTTTTTGTTTCGGCTTACTAGATTTTTGCGGTTTCTTTGCTTAATCGACTAAATACCAGAAATTCCCCAAAATTACGCACCTACCTACCGTTATTGCGTACAATTCTCAAAGGTTTATACGTGCACCATAAGAAGGCAAGGAAGGTAGTAGGTAATAAATGTTAAACTGCCAAATGGCGTGTACCTAATTCACGACTTGGCAATTGTTACGTAGTCGTAGCAATTTCTCTAACATCTTTCCAAAGGGACGCCGCCCATAAATCGAGCTTTAGCCGAGGGACCAAATCTTATGAAATTAGATAAAACCGAATCCCCTTTAATGTTCGCAAGGTCCCATTTCTGCACGCATATATCAGGAGGGCCTGTTAGACACCCAATCAACTGCTCAAACCGCCGTAAACCTGAGATAAAATTAAAAGGAAAAAACGCCCAAAAGAAAATTAAATACGTAGGGAACATACGCGTCGGGCGGCGGCGGCGGCGGCGTATTATAAAATCGGAACAAATTTCCTAAATCTGTTTTACGAGTGGGGAACGTCAAATTGATTTCGAGTGTATCAGAATAGTGGGTAACTGAAACTGGCATTACCCTCCGTTTACTGTTTTGATGGCACCGCGGGCGTTAATCAATATGGCCTATCTCGTATCAGCCCCCTTTGTTACTAATATGCATGACTGGCAAGCTTATTGGATCCTTTATAAAGATGTAGTTACGGTGTGATTAACCGCAAACGTTATTACATTATATTAGACCAGTGTCCTCTCGGACACCGATAATGAGCTCTTACAATACGACACGAAGGTTTTACTTTACACGAACAGAAGACACTGGAATATGTACTAAGTTCATAATATATTAGCATACTTCGTAATATCAATATTTGAAATTCCTTAAAAATGAGTCCACATGACGTTGTGCAACTAACGCCAGCAATTTGATTGAGATTGAGATTGAGATTGGGATTGGGATTCGGATTGGGATTGAGATTGGGATTGTGTTTGAGATTGAGATTGAAATTGTGAGGTTTATTAAATT